CTCAGTAATCTAGCATTCTGTAGACAGAATAGTCTTTAAAAACTATGTATTTTATAAATTTAAACTTTTGAATGACAGCATTGTATTTACAGGTGAATTCATTTTAGAAAGTTTTTTGTATGTCTGTGTGCGTGAAAAATCAAATTTATCCACATACAATTTCAAGTATTTGTAAATTTAAAGTCAATATAGCGATAGTTTTGTTAGGATGCTAAACATTTGATACAATATTAAAACTGGATCATATTTATAACATTTCTCCTTTGCTGCATAGGTTATCAGTTTTCCATCCTATCATGCAACTGGTAACACTTTGCATTGAAATATTGTGCCATGTAAAATGAATGCTAAATATTTCTGATTANCGCACACACACACTCACAGGTCTTCACACAATCAGACTCATTTCTAGGCTGAAGCAGTCAAAAGTCCCTGTGCACTCTTAAAAACTATTAAATTTACTGAGGTGACATTAGTTAATAACATTATACAAGTTTCAAGTCTCTCTTAACAAGCTCTGAAACTGTGAAGGGTTTATGCCAAAATGGAGAAACCTCTGAGGTAAACAGATGATTTTACACATATTGGCACTGATCTGATAGGCTAAATATTTTAATGGGGGCAATACAGGTTATGCTGAGGTAACAAACATTTTCTATCTCAATGGCTTAATGCAGTAAAAGTTGATTTCTCCATTATGAAAATTCAGCTACAGGCTTAGACTATCTTCCAGGATAGCTGTCTTCATGTGGTAACTCAGCAACTTGGCTGGCCTTAATTTTAAGGTTTTTCCTAAAAAATAATAATGACCCTATTTCTTTCTTGCTTTAGAGGTTTTACTGTGAGAAGAATGTCCAACAGGGAGAAAGTAAATCTAAGTATTAATTGAGATCTTCATACTTCTTTGTTCTATCAATAAACAGCAATTACCCTTAAATTTCCAAATCTTTACTACCTACCTATACAGCAACATAAAGAATTAATGAAGAACATTCATTCATTAAGCAATTACTTATACAGTGCCTACCATACGTTGCATATAATGTTCAGTAGTGATAAGGCAATGAGCCTCTTCTCATAGAGATTATATATTAATCTCAGGAAGTTACTCTGTTCTTACGGCCCCTTGTATATATTTTTCAGTTTCCACAGAGGAAATTTAATCTTTCTTTGGGATATTTCCAAATTCAATGTGGATGTTATTTCTAGTCACATATTCATTATAGCTGAATTAGATTAAAATAAAACAATTTAGAACTTTAATGGAGTTCAAGTATTTTACAAGTAATATACTCTCTCAGTGATACATTAACAGTTACGAAAATAACTTTGACTCATTCCTCCCTCTTGGCACAAATAACTGATGCTGGTGTGCTGTCACGCATACTTCGGAAGTGGGGCCAAAATGGGCATTCAACAAAGTGAATGATTTTCATCCCATAATCTGGAAGCACAAAGTATGAGTTCTATCATTGTTAGTATCGATGCCCAGCAATAGATAACTGGGTAAAGAAGTCGTGTTACATATATACAATGGAGTATTACTCTGCCATAAAAAAGAATGAAATTTTACCATTTGCAACCATATGGATGGACCTAGAGGGTATTACACTAAGTGAAATAAGTTTTTCTCAGACTGAGAAAAACAAATATCATGTGCTCTCACACATGGAATCTAAAGAAAAAAAAATAAAGGGAGATCAAAAATGTCAATTATAAAATGGCAATGACTATGTACTTATCAATAATCACTTTAAATGTAAATGGATTAAATGTTCCAATCAAAAGACGTAAATGAACAAACAAAACAGAAAGAGACTCATGGGTGCAGAGAACCAACTGATGGTTGCTAGAAGGGAGGGGGGCTCGGATGATGGGTGAGAAAGGTGAAGAGATAAGTACAAATCGGTAGTTAGAAAATAGTCATGGGGATGTAAAGTAAAACATAAGGAATATAGTCAAAGATATGGTAATAACTATGTATAGTATCAGAGAGTACTTGATTTATCGGGGGATCACTTCATAAACTATATAAATGCCTAACCACTATGGTGTACACCTGAAATTACTATAAAATAATACTGAATGACAACTATAAAAAAAGAAAAAAGTTACAAGCAGATTTCCCACTGCACAGCTGTCAGCATCCCTAACCCCCAACATTCTTCAAGAATCAACCATATAGACAGTATTAAATAACAATCATATAGTGAAAAAAATAATTTCTGCTTCAATTTTCTTCTAATCTTTATATCAAGAATAAAGTCTCAGTTTGGTGGTACTATGACTTTAACATCTCACAAACATTTTCTAACTTCCTCTTTACCAGAAAAGTGGGCCTGGATTTGCTGGCTTTTGTTAACCAATGGCATCTAGCTCAAATAATATTGTTCATACCAGTGTTTTCCAAACATTTGGTCTTGGGCTTCCTTTATGGTCTTAAAAATTATTCAGGACCACAAATACCTTATATTTATGTGTATTATATATATATATATATATATATATATATATATATATGCATATTAACACTTAGTATGTTTAATTAAACCTAAAACCTATCCTTTGATTTAAAATAAAAAGTCCATTGCATGTTAACGTATCTTTTTTCATGAAAAATATATTGTCAAAAAGAAAACAGACAAAAAAAGGTGACAAAAAGGCACTGACTTAGACTTTTTTTCAAATCCCTTTAATGTCTGGCTTAAATAGATAGAACTAAATAGAAAATAGAGATAGAAAGTAGAAAATAGCTACATGTTTATATTCGCTTCTGCATTTAATCATTTGCAATGTGTTGTTTGGTTGAAAGATATGAAGAAAATCTAGGTTCACAAAGATATAAACTTGGAAAAGGGACGTCATATTAATAGGCTTTTCAGATGTTAGTGTTTATTCTTTTTTGCTACTACACCAAAACTCAACAAGAGGTAGTTTTTTTAAAAGATAGCTGTGATGTAGAATTTGAAACTATATCAATGAACTTCTTGTACCTTATAAACTTATAAGAGAATGTATTATTTTGAAAATTGTTCTGATTTTGTTCTGATTCCTTGAAGAGGTCACAAAGAACCCACCCTCCCAGCCCCAGGGTTCCCTGGACCAAATGTCTAGAACAAGTAGCTTACAACGTATTTTTTTTTTAATCAGCTATTTAAGCCAAGGGATGTTGGTTTTCCATGCATAGAATAATAA